AATGTAGGAAGTCAAGCAACAATCGACGTCCTTTTTTTTTCTTTTTTTCTTTTTTAAATTCTGTTCGACGACACAAAAGCGCCAAATCAGACTAAATGGCGGACGATCCCACACAGCAAGCAGTTCATGTACCGCTGACCGTGGTTCGACATCATTGTATCTTTTTGGCGAAACTTTCAAGGCTACTTTCGTCATTTGAAGCAAGAAGCGAATCTGTTGTTTCGGAATTAGTTCTCAAGAGGCTCTGCTGTCAGAGTTCTTGACATGAAGCAGGATTAAAAAAAAGAAGAAGAAGAAGAAGAAGAAGAAAAAAAAAAACGATAAGCCGCACGTCGTGCAGGCCGGTGATGTGACGTGAATACCCACAAGAAGGAACGGGGACATACATTATAACTCATAGAAAGAGCGCGTACACAAAAATTATATTTACATGCGATATTATAAACAAAGCGCCACTTTATCCGGCTTCTCTGGCACGCCTGAGTTCTGGCCACCGACGATAGAGAAGGCCAAAGAAAGGGAACCGTGCATCAACGCACAAAACGGAGCGCCTCAGTGTGCAGAGTGCCCACCCGGGGGGTTGCGCCTTTCCGTTGTAGGAGGCTACCTACCACGAAGCGACCGGCGGGCGTCTAGGGACCATCGATTGTGTCAATCCATGGTCCTTAGGCGCCCGCCATTCTCTTCGTGGTAGCCTCCAACGACGAAAACGTGCAGGTGGGACCGAGCCCCGGGGGGCAGCGTTACGGTTAGTCAAGCGAAGAGCGAAATCAGGCAGGCTGTGCTCACCCTCGCAGAAGCTGTGCCAGGCCTGCCCACCCTCGGAGGACCTGCTGTTATAGCTCCGGGATAGGCTCGGGAACCGGCATGGAAGGTCAGCCGTCCTGCAGGGATCCTTCGGGACATCTGTTAAAATTGGAACGATACAGAGATACACACTTGCAATATTGGCCCCTGCGCAAGGATGACACGCATAAATCGAGAAATCCTGCAGGGACATCCGTTAATATTGGCACAATACAGAGAAGGAAGATTAGCATGGCCCCTGCGCTTTCAAGGATGACACGCATAAATCGAGAAATGGTCCATTTTTTTCAGAAAAAGAGAGGGGGCGGGGCAGGGGGAAGGGGGGGGGGGGGGGGGGGGGGGGGGGGGAATCCTGCAGGTTACCAACTGGCGTAGCTCAGTTGAAATACACCCTTGAACTGGTGAAATACAGACCCGAGTTCCAACTCCACTGGAAACAAACGAGTAAAATAGAACAACAATTCTGAATTACCTACGGCCGATCAGTTCGATGACCTTATTCCAAGGTCGTCGACCTTTAAAAAAAAAGTTACTGCAGGCCTGCTCCCATGGGCAGGACCTGTGCCCAGCCTGCTCATCCTCGGAGGACCCGCCGTTCTAGCCACGGGATAGGCTCGGGAACGGGCATGGAACGGTCAACCGAGACGCAGCGTTGCGGTCGGTCAAGCGAAGGGGAAATGTTGCAGGCCACAGCAGTCATCAACGGGGAAAAAATAAAAATAAAAAATCAAATATGCAGGGTCTGCTCATCCATCCACGCAGGACCTGAGCCAGGAATGCTCAACCTCGGAAAGACCTGCTGCGGATGTAGCCTCGGGATACCTCAGGTGGTCCCCACCCACCGACTGTTGCAATGCAGACCCAAGTTTAAATCCAGATACAAACAGATGACCACAATAAAATCATTCTGAATTACCTGGGGTCGGTCAGTTCAATGATAATATTGTGTCATCCTTGCGCAGGGGCCATGCTAATCTTCATTCTCTGTATCGTTCCAATTTTAACGGATGTCCCGAAGGACAATGATAATATTTCAAGGCCGTTACCCATTTTATTTTAAACAAAAAGGAAAAAGACGAAAAAGGAGGAATTCAGAAGAAAAAAAAAACGAAGAAAAGAGGAAAACTTAGCGTTGACGGCGAAAGGCCGGTCACGGGAGGAATCAATTCTCATCAATGCCGCCGCATTTTGGAAAGCCTCTCTCTCGATCACACACGTCGTTAAGGCTTGGAGGATGGACAGCGAGCTTGTTAACTGACCTGCTCCACCACGACAGGGTCAGAGGGGGTCAGCCATTCACCAGCGCTGGTGCGCCGCAGACAGCAGAGTCTCAAAAAAAACAAATACAAGAACGCGCGCGGTCGACAGCAGAAATTCACAAAAAAAAAGAGCTAACACGCATATCCATGAAAATGGGAATAATTCCTACTAAAAAGTTTGACGTCTACTGTCATCCCTCGTATACAACGCAGTCATCATGAATGGATACCCGCTAGTCTTTGGGTCAAATACAATCATGACAAGCGGCGACCGTTGCGTTCGAGGGAGACGGCAGCCTCAGTATTGACTACCCCGCATAAGCATACATCCCGCTGTTCTGTTTCCTTCCTCCCTGAGCTACTCTTTCTCAATCCTCGGGTCGTAGCGGAGGATAAGTACGACTGGAAGAATGTCCACTGCAGTTTCTTGACGAGAAGTTGAAGCGAAGAGGACAAATACGACTTAGTCAAGTAGTCGATAATGGGCCATGATGGCAAAGCTCGTGACATCTACTTCGATATTATTACTAGTCTTCCCCCTAATACAACGCACGGTCATTATAGCTGAATGCAGACTGAAAGATACACCAAATTCAGCTATAATGACCGTACGTTGTATTCGGGGGAAGACTGTAGTATGTGTTCAATCATTCATGAATGGGAACGAGCGGGAAGAGAGAGCAACAGGGAGGCGGCGACTACGACCTGCCTCCTTCCAGCGTTTGTGCAATCCGCCGGCCACAATCCCTTCAACAGCCCGCGTGACTACGACCTGTCTCCTTCCAGCGCACCACCAGTCCTGTGTTGTTTTCTTTTCCTTGCGATTCCGGGGGGGGGAGGAGAGAAGAGGCAGCGCCGCAAAAAAACAGGGGGCGCGGGGAATTAGGACGGGGGAGGGCGGCGCTGGCCGACGTGGGTGGGGAGGGAGACGGGAGCGAAAGGGAGAGAGAGAGAGAGAGAGAGAGAGAGAGAGAGAGAGAGAGAGAGAGAGAGAGAGAGAGAGAGAGAGAGAGAGAGAGAGAGAGAGGGAGACGTTGACATTGTGAGCATGCCAGGCTGGGGATTCCGAACGACTTGGACTTGGAGCACTGTGCAAGAGGGCAGAGATAGAGGAGGGGAGGGGAGAGAGAGAGGGAGAGGGAGAGGGAGATAAGAGAGCGAGAGAGAGAGAGAGAGAGAGTGTGAAAGGAGGTTATCATTATGGGCATGCCAGGCTGGGGATTCAGAACGACTTGGACTTGGAGAACTGTGCACTTCCTCCTATGCGACTCCGGACACTGGTGCGGGCGAGCTCCCATTCATCCATCCCTCATGCTACATAAAGTAGATTTAGGAGCTGTAATAAACTTCAGATCCATAGCATGGATTGCTTTTCCTCTTTGTTTAGAAGAACCACCGGTTTTCAAGTGGTACCCCCGGGCCGCATTCCATTGACATCACCAAGATCGGTGATCGCCTTGCGATCTGGCGCGTCTGTATTGCCCCTACATTCATGGTCCTGATGTCCATGCTTTCATGCTTGCCTGCGTAAAACCTGCGTTCCGCGATGCTCTCTCAGTCCGTCTTCTGCTCACGCGCAAGAGAGAGAGAGAGAGAGAGAGAGAGAAGGGGAGAGAGAGAGAGAAACACAGAGAGAGAGAGACGAGACGCTCTCCCTCAAGGTGTCCCTCTCTTGCGCGTCCTTTCTAATATCCTTCTGTTCTTTCACCTCTTTCTTTTGCCTATTTTCTTGCGAACAAAGCCGCAACAACAACCCTCTGCCATGCTAGAGGACACGGGGGGACCGATGCTGCCAGAGGGTAGATCCACCCTCCAATATTGCGGCCATCTTCCCTTTTTCCCCCCCTCGGCAACTTCCCACCCTTCTGCCATGCCAGAACATTTTTCCTCTCTGATTGCATTCTGGCTTATAGGCTTTCGTCATTAGTTTTAAGTAAGAAAATACCTTCCTATAGGCGTATGCATGTCTGTGTGACTCCTGCTATGCAAGTCAATGGCATGCGAGGGTCTCCCATATACAGCACCGAGCAACGGTGCTCTCTCTCTCTCTCTCTCTCTCTCTCTCTCTCTCTCTCTCTCCACCGCACCGAACGAGTTACCGTTTACTGTTCGGATCTTAAATCTTGACTCCTCCCACTTGAGGTGAGGCGGCGTTAGTGGCCACGAGTAATTGCACTCCCTACACGAAGACAGTTTAAGGCCCGCTGTGACTGCTAGTTTCTCATCTAGCCATGCAGTCGAACTTCCTTCAGCCATGCAGTGTGTATGGGGGTTAAGTCGGTAACAAGCCAGGAGGAGAGAGGGACCGCAGTTCAGACGGAAGACGGGAGAGAGAAACACTACCAGGAGCTCCGCTTGAAGCGCCAAAAATTGAGAGTCAAGACTATAGAAACAGCACTAAAAAAATTGACGAAAAAAATTGACGAAACGTAGATTCTTCGTGTTCGTGTGTACGCGCGCGTGAAAATCTATGTGTGTGTGCGTATATTTCTGTGCACGTGTTTGTACGTGCCTACATGTGTGTGTGCGTGTGTGCGTGTCTTGTGCCAGACTGTTTCGGCGGACTTTCATGGACTCGTCAGAAGGTTGATGTGTGTGTTCTTGTGTGCTCGAGTGTACGTTCGATTAATTACGTGTGCAAGTTAGCGAGGAGAGAGAGAGAGAGAGAAAGAGGGAAAGGCAGTGGTGACAGGTGAGTGAGGCGCCCAGTGTTAAACGTACAAGTCATCACCCGTTCTAAAGGTGGGAGTTTCAACTGCACGATAATTTAATGTAGACACAGACGAAAGAGAAGGCACGGATGAAGGTGTGGCGAGAGCATGATCGACAGAGATGAGCAGGGGAAGGCGGGAGAGGAGCCGTTCAAGTGGGGGTAGATGGGGCGTTCTAGTGGGGGTAGATTTTCGGGATGGGGACCTGAGGGTGGATTCACACCTCAACGCCCATTTCCTTGGTTTTGCCGGCAGCCTTTCCATGACCATTTTGTGCAAACGATGAAGCTCGAATGACTGATCGCCTCGTGGCAGCGAGGAAAGGCCACCATTTGCGCTCCCCATGAGTCTGCCACCTGAGTTGTTGATTTCTCTTTCCCACTCCCTCATTCACCGACGACGCCCTCCTCCTCAATCCATCAAAGGCGGCGAAATGTTCTGCCCAAGAACCACTGACACCCCGCCGACGGTGAAGCCGGTCTGTAAGCGGACAACAGCTCCGAGCGGACGCGACGAAGCCCGAGCTGCTGCCACGTGGCAACGAGAGAGAGGCCGATCCAGCAGCAGCAGCAGCGTAATTACCAACAACCGGTGCGACGCCAAGAATGGTCGATTGTTTGCCCGAGGACTGCGCAGCTGGTCTAGAAGAGCGCCGCGACGAGGAGGCAGAGGAGGAAGTCGATGACGACGGGGACGACGAGGCGGAGGAGGGAGGAGAAATATGTGCTCGATACCCGAGAGAAGAGAGCAGCTGATTCGAAGTCACAACATGCGCCATGATTTCTCCCCCAGCTGGTCTACGTTCAAGTGTCGCTCCTCTCCGCGCCCCGCGCGCATGCGGCAGGCCAGGAACTCCCCAGCGCACCGCACCGCACCGGGTCAGAAATGCGCCAGCCCAAGCGCACCGGGCTAGAGACTCCGCTACCTGTTATTGCTCGCCAGCCGGATGTCGAGCACAGAAAGCGCACTCGAGGATGGTCAGGCGGGCTCGTCGTCCTTCTTTTCCCGGCTATGGCGGCTCGTCAACCGCTCCTAACAGCCGTCCCCTCACTGGGTCCTCCTCCTCCCTTTCCTAAGATGCGCGCGAGCCAAGTGCCCTTTTGTTGGGTTTAGATGGGAGACGCAAATGCACAGCGCGCGAAGCCAGTCGCCCACCGCGAAACCGACCGCCAAAAAAGCCCACCCCGCATTTTCTGATCGACAGTTCTCCTCATGCCCCGCCTTGCCGCCCCAGTTCCGACCTTGCGCGTCCGAAAAAATGACGGGTCACGTGGTAGCGCCAACAAGCAACTACCGCTGCCCAGAATGGGACTGTTTGTCCGGACTACCGGGTGCGACTTGGGCCTCGCCACACTACTCTCGAAATGTGCAAAATGAGAATGAACTTCCCGTTAGAACACTGCCAGATGCGCCGGCCACAGTTTTGTCTTTTGCACATTTCGAGAGTGGTGTGGCGAGGCCCTATGGGCCTCGCTGCACTGCTCTCGAAATGTGCAAAACGAGAGCGAATCTTCCGCTAGAATATGAAAAGATACGCGGCCATGATTTTTGTCTTTTGTGCATGTCGAGAGTAGTGCGGCGAGGCCTTATATTGGCCGGCAATTGCGGCTGAATGCCACACACGTGCAACTGTTATTTAATAATAAGCACGTCGGGAGCTCGAAGACTCGCCTCGTAGTCAGTTCTAAGGGCTTTACCCTTGAGTGGGGCGAGAAGGATATAGCGCAGTTTCGAAGGAAGGGGGGGGAGAACAAAAAAAAAAGCGACCCACCCCATGTGGCTGAATGGTACAAAAAAAAAAAAAAAAGAATGGTACACACACGCAACTGGTACGCGTCAGGAGCTCGAGCCTCGACGATGGACGATGATGGACGATGATGGACGGGATAAATCCGTAATGATCGCCCCCACCTGACCACGACTATTCGCGCGCTTCGGCAAATGGGTTCTTTTTTTTTTGGACCAGTTTTCGCTTCACTTTTCCTAAATGCCACGCGCGGCGCGGTGAGTTCAGTTGACGCCGCGTGGCGAAGTCGCACTTTTCCAGATTAGCCATTTTGTGCCGTCGATTACGAGGGTCGACGTAAGTGGGACGTCTCTCCCGTATGAAGCCGCGAGAGAGAAGAAAGGAAAGGATGAGATTTTGCGGTGGGGGAGGAAACCGAGGTCCGGCACTCCGACACCATGCCCTTGCTTTAGCCTGAACGCCTCTCTGCGCCCGCGCCACACCATAATAACTGATCCACGGTCTTTTGCAGTCGCCGCGGTTTACCCCATACATTACATGGACAACTACCGCAGACCTGCAGGTGGTCGGTGATGACCACAACCTCCCTTCACCCCCTCTTTGGCCTCCTCTGCCTCCCTCCCAACCCTACTCCGCCTCCTCCATTTCTTCTATCGACCCTGATCACCGCCTGGTCGTTGAATTGAGCCTTGATCGATCGTCTCTGCACCTGTCAAGTGGGTGCGTTCTGCATCTGTCCAAATTCATATCCCTCTGGTCCATAAATGCAGAAGGGCAGCCGTTCACATCTGGCTCCATTCAAGAGACTACACCCGACCTCGTTCTTCTACTACTCACCAAGTGCGGAAGTGGTGCGTGTAACTTGCAGCAGAGCGTGGCAACATGCATTCGTAACTCGTACATTTAGCGAGCGTCAGTTTTCATCATTCATTTATGATCCTCGATTATGGAGACCGACGACCGTTTCGGTTCAGACTGGTCGTCGGCCAGGCGGAACTACCCTTCCTTTCCACTACATGCGGCTGCGGGAGATTTGCTGTCATTCCCTGCTAGCCACATCCTCCTCTCCATACGTAGTCTGCGGCACCTTGTACCTCCGCCGCGTGCTACTGACCTCCCATTCCCACACAACACTCGCTTGCCTCATCGCAGCGCAGCGCAGAGCCTATTTTCTGCAATTTTTCTGCAAGTTCCCCCTCGCAACTGCATTACTTGATTTATATTCGGGAAAGGGAAATCCATGGAAGTAGCCTGCACATGTTGGCAAGAGACAAAAACACCCTGGTCAGACCAGATGCAGGCACTAGAGTGAGTGAGGTGCAGGCCATGCACCTGTGCACTACAGAGACGCAGGTTCGCCGAGGGGCGAACAATTAAAAAAGGGGGGGGAAAGGGTCGCTGAGGGACATCCAGGTTTCCCATTCAACCTTATAATATTTTGTCACTCCAGAGTGTCGGGTTTACTGGGGGGCCTGAGGCCTTTCTAGGCAACGTTTCTGTGTTCTCCCTTTTTATTTTGGTGCAGCATGAGCTCCATCTCTTCACTATTCCCAAAGTAGCCCTTCACTTACCTCCTGAGTTGCTATCCAGCCTCTCATCACATGATCTACAACACTATAGTATTCCTCAGTATGTGGCAGTGGGAGGAGGCTGTGCTCCATTATTTTGATGTATTGCCATCTCCCGAGTAGAACGCATGGTCACAAACTAGAATTGCATGCCAGATACGGTTCTAACCACCATGTCTTCTATACTGCTCCAGCTAAATAGGTGTGCGGTCAAGCCTTTTGTGACTTATAAGATGTCCAAACCACTAGTCTCTCCGAGGTGATGTTCACCTGATGGAAACCTTCCCATCAAGGATGAACCAAATGGGCCGCCGGCAAGCCACTACATCGAAAGTGCAGCCTCCATGTATAAATCCAAAGACTGGGGAAGTGTCTGGTGGCTCTGTCCAAACACGTCAGAGAAAACAAAGACAAGAAAGTTATAGCAAGATTACGAGTGTGTGTTGAGTGCACCACGCGACCCCCCCTGGCAGGGCTGCTGATTGTGCACCATCATAAAATAGACCTGTTCTGGGAAAGACCCTTGACACAATGAATGCTCTGTAAAACTCCCAAACATTGATTCAGAAGGACTGTGATAGGGGGCTTCGGTGATAACAAAAAGGTTTGTTGGTGGAGCAAAACGAGCATTTTGCATACAAAAAATAGAGATGAGAGATCCACTTTTGACCACCATGAGTGCATGTGTGGTTTCCTTGTAAAAGTATAGAATGACTACTTTACAAGATGCGAAGTAGAGAACGATTGGAACTTGCAGGTTCGTTCTGTGGGTCATCACCGCTGCCGGTGTGCAGAGAATAGATTGAACCATGGCAGGACAGATTTCTGCACACTTGGGGGTTGGCCCGAAACGGGCCTGTGTACTGTTAAGGGGGCTGACCTTCCTTGTTGCCCCTATCTTATGAAAATCGTTTTGCAAAATGTACCTACTCCAAGTTGTAATATACAAGGGATATTTCTGCAACTTGTAACATGGTTGGTTCTTGCAGTCAGGATGCACCTTAGGGAGCGCAAATAAAAGATGACGTGTCTCTCTTCCTACTTCGGAATTTTGCATGTTCAGTGCAAAGTTTTGGCATGGTACTTCGCGTGGAATGGCACTCAAAATTTGAATTCTTGGTAACCACTCAGTAGCTCGTGTGTATAAATGGATTTTTTTTTGGAATCAGGATTTGTTATTTTTATTTTTTTTAAAGACACAAAGCCCCATCTATTTTGGGGGGCAGCAGTCTGGTTGCTCATCACCGGCAAGCAGCAACAGGCAGAAAAGTCAGAAGGGAGGGGGGAGGCGGTTGGGGGTATTGGGGGGGGCATTCTGTGGGTCGGAAGGCAGTTATGCACCTAGTCACCCACGAACCAGGCAGGGAGAGGAGCCAGCTAGGGGCCGCAGCAGGCCCTTCGCTCCACACCAAGAACGCGTTGCTAAACGGTCTCAATCTATGTACCTTACGAATGTTCCCTCAAGTTTCAGGTCCCCAAAATCATCACCAGAATTCCTCTAGTTGCCATATTCTCAGTCTTGGCTTTATTGCTCCTCCTTTGATCCCAGCACTCCCCCCCCACCCCCCACCTCTTTTCCCCCCAGCACTCCCCATTCCCCCAACCCATAGCCCTTTCTCCTGTAGAGCACCTCCCCCTACGGTATCTATCCTACTGCCGAAAGTTTTTGTTGTCGGGCACGGCGGTCCCACACCCTGCGGTAAGTGTCAGACCTCACGGTCGTGTCACGCAGGAGTAAGCTATTGCGTTAAGTTAGCGGAGATACCACTCTGACAGTGTGCGCCAACTATACCTCTCATGGCTCCTTGCGATAGGACCTGGTTCCGCAAGGTACAACTCACTTTTACCTGAGGGGTTATCACCACCCTTAGATAGGTGTATCCCCGTTGAGCTACTAACTCACGTACGAAGGTTTTTACTTGCAATCGCAGAGGTAAGTCAATCAATGGCATTTGCTCGATCGATGTAGCATAGGCACACGCACGGTAGAACTCATAAAACTGAACCGTATATTTGTCAAGCATCGAGGCACTTATCACCTGTACCGACTTACGATTCATGTCGACTTGACAAGTCGTTACGGATAACATATTCTTCCATCTTTGATGTGGTCTTCTTATACAACCCGCAAAGTATCTGTCAAACGACTTAATTCAATATTGATATAAAAGAAGTAAGCACGTTTGACTTCAGAATAGGTTCTTACCACGGCGTTAATTTCACCTTGTACATGAACTTTGCGCGCACAACATTTTAATTCATAGCTCTTAACCCTTTAAAACAATTTTTAAACAATGTGCGTACGATAAATAGATTTCAAGCACTGAGACATAAAAGCAGGGAAATGTCTTTACATTTTTACAAAGGCAAACATCATAATGCACAAATTTTTTACTTTTGGAAGAAAACAAACATATATTGCATTTCAATCATGCATCATAAATCAAGATAGGCTCACGACCTTTCAATAAAATATGAAATGTATAAGGTTTTTAGCCTTGCCAATGATCATAATCTATTTAACATCAAGAAAAATAATTGTAGGATATTCAAATCAAATGTACAAAGGGTACGTGTCAATGAAGTGTTTCAGTCAAGGTCCTGAGGAACATAAATTTATCAATGCGAGTTACGTTGTGAATAATACATGGATGGTTGTTTTATTGACCATCTGGTTCCCTGCCTCCAGAATTTCACAAAAACTCCGGTAGAACTTGTATTATCGATAAGCAGTCTGATGTCCCACTTGATATAGTCTCGGCACAATTTGGTCCGAGTGACATTTTGTCAGCGGTCTTCTCGTCAGA